TACAAATCAATTAATTTCTGAACGAATTTGCAAACATTAACACACAAAATATATTTATATATTTTTTAGTTAATTTTAACTTATTCAATCATTATTATTTCGTTTCAAAATCGTCCAATAGGTAACTTACATAGCATATGTTAATGCTTTATTATATTAACATTGGTATACCTATACCTATATATATATATATTATATTTTTATTTGTAACTTTAAATTAATACCTATATAGTATAATATACTAACCATGAATATTATTCGTTGAGAGTTATTGAGACCTATTTCATTTTATCGATGAATATCTAAAATATATTTCAGAGAATTTTTATTTTATTTCTGTTTTTTCCATATATTATTTTGTTAAAAAGCGATTCAATAAGATAATTATTATCAAATAAAACCGCATTCATGGAATTACGAAATTTAAGAAAAAAACAAATATACCTATATAACACTTCACGATTTATTTCATAAGCCATAATCGTTCTCATTTGATTGTGGACGCGCTGTATAATCGTAGTATATACACAGATGAAATCAGTTGTGCATATATACGATACATAATACTGTTATGGTAGATACCTATACATATATATATATATATCGACGAGACGAATTATAAAATCAAATTCTTCAATTATTCGGAATAAACTGTACGGTAACAACATGTTTTTATACCTCGAACTACGTGACGAAACGCATAATATACATACACTTAGGTAACAACTAACAACACGCGTTTAAGTCACCCGCGCCATCGGTCATCGCCATAATAATTATAAATGTAAAACGGTTGACCCACCAATGATGACCGCATCGTATTATATGTAGGTTATAGGTATGACTGGTGTGAGGCATAATATTCCAAACCACGTGAATTTATTCAATGCGGTGGTGAGTTGTAAGAGTAGGACAAATATTATATACACATATTTGATTATCAGAGCTACGAATTTAAATATTTTACACAGTAAAATCTGTTGTAAATATGAGCATGCTCTTATGATAATTTATATGTTGTAAAAATGAATCAAATAATTATTTTTATTAAAAAAATATATTATGCTCTAAAATTCCCAAAATATGTTAATCAGATTTTTATATTTTCAATAGTAGTGCTAGTGTTAACGTTAAGACAAGTAGATACTGATCAAACTATTGATTCCAAAATAATGATAAATAAAATATTGTAAATGAATTAGATCCATTTTAGCCCGCGACCATTTGTAATTTGTATTTAGTTTATGTATCTAACTTTCATTGCATACAAGTATATGCACGTTCCAATCGCAATATAAAAAACCTCAATCCATATAATAGCTCATACAATAATATAATATATTTATACTAATATTTACGTTATTGTATACGACTGTTATGCTCGCGAATCGATACGGTCCTCTATACCATAGCTAATCGTTAAACCGAATAATAATTGCCAAATACCGCCGCTGCGCATTATTATTATAGCCGTGTCGTATAATTTATAAGTTTTATCATACTCTTTATTTTAATCTCGCAAACGTGGGCGCTTCAATAGCTCAAAATTTATTGACTCCTACAATGAGCTGATAAAAATAAAAAATAAAATTATACATTAATCGAGCGACCACTGTATTATAATAATATTATTATATAGCGTCATTAGACACGACGACGCAAGGCAGGTGAAAGTGCATCTGTGACGGTGGCAAACTGCAGATATTGCGGCAATAGTTTTACCTGTGTATATATTATATATATATATATATATATATATATCACATATATGATATAAAATTATGATAATAATATGTAGGCGTGCAGAGCCCGATACATGTGCGCATCTTGTACGTGAAAAATAATCTATTAAGTCAAAAAATATTAAAATCGAATTCTCGTACGATTGAACATGTACGACGACAATACGAATAAAATTAGCAAACCTTGTGCAACCAGAGATAACAATACACTGGCTGTACTATATGTATAGCACGATATATGATGATAATAATAATAATAATACATTTCAGTACACGCATAACATTTGGGGCCGAGATATCTGTTCAGAAATCGCGTTTGATCTATATTTAAAGGTTTCTGGGGATAAACACCACCTATTAAATTGTAGTTTTTAGTAGTTCTCGATTACGACGACGACGATAGACTGACGCATAATACTTTAAATCATTTAATCCCGCGTTTGATCTAACACGTCGATGTCGTTGTCGTTGACCGTTGTAGCCTATATGATCGATCAGATCCCATATAAGCGATTTTCGTCTTCCACCGATCTACTCTGACGATCAAACACTAAGTAAATACATCATGACGTATAAAATACAAATATTGAAATATACATAATATTAGTTTGATATTATATTGCAGGATATGGTATCTACAGATATAGACACTGATTGAAGTGACTACAGCGTATAATAAAATATTATTCTATATCGGATTGAAAAGCATGTAACTATAGTTACTAGACTAATAATTATAACATCTTAATAGTGGAATGTCGTTGGTAAATTTGTGGGTACGGCGGATCATTCATATTTATTTAAATATAGACAATACTCGTCATTATAATATACTTACAACCGTAACCATGCAATCGCGAGTAAATCAGACAGTCTCTTTCAACTTTCGTTATAATATATATCCACATAAAACGATCATCAATTACATCCTTATCATTCTGACACTCAGTATCATATGTCAATTATATATATATATTTATGTAGCACTTTAGCTGGTATAATTATAATGTTTATGTATATATATATTTATTAATTTTTAAATATACGACATTATTTTCTAAGCACGCTTTTACGTTCGCTATAATAGAAGTCTGCTTTTGTCGAAACGTTATTATAATATATTAATATGTATTCCATTCTTCATTTTGCAGCAGTTATTGTGATAAATAATAATGCACTCGTGCTCGAGTTGGCCAATTATTATATTATTTTATTTCAACAGCCGACGACTACATTTCGTGTTTAATATAGTATAAACACGAAGGTTATGCGAGGGAATGTTTTTCTGTTTTTTTTCCTTTTCAGTAAAATATCTCATTGCAATAATGCGTGTTTACTATTTTAATACCATGATCTGTTCATGTTTTATTTTATTTTTGAACAAAATAGAAAATACTTGTATAAATAAATAGATTAATATAATGTGCTCCGAGCTAAACAATAATGAACATAAATAGCACTTAGTACGTTACAAAATAGTTTGATTTGGAATAATGGTTTAATGTACAACAATATTACTATTTATTCCTATAACTTTAATCCATACGATCTCATATTTTAACTAGGTAACGTAAGAAAAAAATGCATTTAAAAAACCATTTAATCTCCTTCAAATCATTTTCCAAATGCCTGCATCGAAGCATACTTTCTGATTCTTCGGAAATTGTGCAATGGTATATTATAATTTATTATTAATTTATTAATGTATACATTGTAGTTATAATAATTATATGTACAGTCATTGAGAAATAATTATCTGATCGTCACATGTATATATCATTTCTTCTAATTCAGTTTTGTTCAACGTTAAGGTCTGATTAAGAAAATAATATTATTGTTACCTATTCTATACAGTATTATTAACTAATAGCCGCAGCGATGTGAAATCCGTTAGTCCGGCACTGGGTAATTTCAAATCATTCGGGGACTTGAGACGACGAAATAACATAAAAATATCATTATGGGAGCTGTTATTGTAAAATATTACCGCGAAGGATTTTATTCCTGCGGCGGGTCCTGAGCTCGGTGACCCTGGGGGGGTCGGGTTCGTGACTGGCGCGAGCGTTCTCACGGTACTATATAGAAGACGCCCGCCCGCAATCCGTTCGTCGTGACGATCTTGTCTTCTCTTCGTCGACGGCGACGACGGGTGCTATTCGATCGATAAATAGATCTCCAAGCTACACATATTATTATATAACATTAATAATTGCGACGACTACGGTGACTATACACTAAAGATTCCATTCGCGATTTCGTTCGGGAAATTTTGCGCAGGATCTATACGAATCGACCTTTTGCCTCTATCCGCCGAACGCGGAATTTGCGCAGGCCATAGCGGATATAGCTTGTAAATCTGTCGGAAACGATGACTCGACTCGGATCACACGATCAATGATCGCGTGTTGTTTTTACTAATTTCTTATTCGCGTTTTAATCTCTTCTTCGTGCTCCGTCTATTCATAATCTTTATATAAACCAGTTTCGCGTCGATTATTATGCGTGCCTATATAACATGTATTATGTACTTAGCTATATGTACCGGACGACCGTGACATTTGAAACGCGACATTTCCCATAGCGTATCTGTTTGATTTTTTTTTTTTTTTTTTTACGTTTTTCGATTCATCGCCTGACGCACGCTCGCGAACTTTCGGTACGGATGTAGTGTTGTTCAAAAGGTGAAAGCTTCGATGACAATGACGACGACGACCACAACTATTAACGATCAATGATGCAATCGTAATAGATAAAAACAATACGAAAAACGTAGGAGTATTTTTATACGCCTTGCTCATGCTACACGACAGTCACATGTCGATGGCGTACATCGAAGAAGACTCGCGCCGGTATGTTATATAATGGCAGCCACTCCGGTTCTATTGTTATGCAATTATAATCGACGGCTGTTGGTCTTCGATCCTCTCCGAAAATGAAACATATATTATTTATTTATACGTAATTATATTCATAAACGAGAATTGCGGCGGCAATTCGTCTCGTGTATCGTACGGTATGTTGGTATGCCGAGTAATATAATGTTACGACACTGGGAATTGCTATCGATGTTTAGCGCGAGTCACATTATGGTTATAATATGGATAAAACGTTTAAATAATAATAAAAAATTACATCCTCAATCCGTTGGCTGTGTCGTATAGTAATAATATATTACGCGAACGCAGCGGTGGCGGTTTACCTTTCACATTTTTGCGTACATTAATAATTCATCTGCTGTTATATTTTAACGTGTTTCAGATATTATATATTGATAATACAGAAATATATACGTCATGTTGTCCAATTATATGATGGCGGCTATCAAAACTTGGACGTTCCTCACGTTGTTTGCCTGTAATTATTGTTTTTGTGATAATATTATATTAAAAATAACGATTGTGACGTTTACCTAAGTCTAACGTCACGTATCAAAGCTATTTTATTAAAATACGTCGATGCACTCGTTTCTTACACATACAGGTGTGGTGTATGGTCAGAGAAAACCACCGAATTACCAGCAAAATGAAATGCCGCCGACCAGTTTCAGCTGCAAAGACAAAATCGTGGGCGGATACTACGCAGACCCCGAAACGTCTTGTCAAATGTTCCATGTCTGTGTGAACGTCGTCGGTACTGGGGTGAGTAGAAGGCAGTGGATTTTTTTCCGTCATATTATTAATACTAAAGCCGCCATGATTTACACAAAATCGACGACCTATAATATCTCGTTTATAGGTTCAAGATTTCCGGTTTTTATGCCCAAACAACACAGCGTTTGACCAAGAGAATCAGATCTGCGACGACTGGTATAACATCGATTGCGAAGCGGCCACGTTGTATTACAGCGATAATTTCGACTTGTATAAACTCGGTAAGTACCTAGGCATTGGTTCATAAAAATTGATTTCAGCTTTATAAATTTCTATAATACATTTCACATTGAAATTAATTCAAAGTTGGTAAATGCGATAATACAACTAAAATATATTATGGTTAAATATTAAGTTAAACATTTTTATCTGAATAAAATCTCAATATTTATTTGTGTTTGGTTTATGGTTACAATATAATTAAAAATATTAACAAATTATTTAAATTATCTAAAAAATATTCAAATACTTAAATAATAGTTTTAACTGAGAACCAATTTAAAATACTAATCGATAAATGTTCGCACAGGTTTCAGCGGAGCTCCGACCACATCGGGTAAAGCTACACCAATACCGTTGGGCCCATCCAGCGCATCACCAAACGGAGTAGCCCGCCCACAACCCAGTCCCAGGAGACCTTCACTATCTGCCCCTGTCAACAACGCTGTGTCCGAAAACGACGACGACTATTACTTACAGAGGAGTGATTCCACGGATAGTCGGTTACAACACGACCTCTTGCGGGGCAGTAGCTCGGGCAATTTCTTCAGCAATAAGAACAGGGGTGTCGAAAACCCAGACGACTACGACGATAGCCGGATAGTTGTTTCATCTAAAGACGTGCCGAAGAAAAACACTAAAGCGCCGTTCAGGAAACTGTTAACAGGCAAAAAACCGGTTGCCGAATCAATAACGGGTGCTCCGAGTACCACTTCCGGCATCACCAGTACTACCGTTGCTGCCACCACCATCACCAGCACAAGCACAGTCAGGCAGCCTAATTACAAGCCGACCACGTACCGTAGCAAGGACCGCGGCCGTGTAAACTACAAGACGTACTTAGACAAACAAACCAAAGCTGACGAATTTGACTATCAAAAAGTGGCCAAGCCCACCACTATCCAGTCTACAACGTTCGCTCCATCGACTGGTAATACATATAACAGACAACCGACCGTGACCGTCGCTACCGTTGACAACACTTATCAGACCACACAGGTAACCAATGCCGTGCAACAAAATAATCGGCCGAAAAATAACGATTTCCTGCGCATCGCACCAGCAAACAACAATAACAACAACAACAACGGCGGATTCCAGTCAGCCCGGATCAATGTAACACCTCCAACCAACAACTTCCAGACGAATAATGCGTTCCGTACGGCAAACGATCAAGCTCAAAATTTTGAACAAAATGTGGTCAACTATAATCAAGGCTTCCAATCGGACAAAACTACTTATTCTACAACTCCACAAAACTTAAACCCAGCAAACTTCCAGTCTGACAAGATCTTCACGACAACACAAAAATACATCCAAAACCCGACAACTAACACCTTCCAACAACAGAGTGGTAACACGTTCCAACCAGGAAATAATTTTCAATCTATAAACAATTTCCAGCAACCCAACAACTTCCAGCAACCCAACAATTTCCAGCAAGTTAATAATTTCCAGCAAGCCAATAACTTCCAGCAACCCAACAATTTCCAGCAAGCCAACACTTTCCAACCAGCCAACAATTTCCAGCAAGCCAACACTTTCCAACCAGCTAACAATTTCCAGCAAACCAACACTTTCCAACCGGCTAACAATTTCCAGACCGTGACTCCTACTACACAAAAGTATAATTCGTATCAGCCGTCGTCACCGATCGCATATCAACAGACCACAAACGTGTTCCAGTCATCGACACCGTACAACGTGGGAAACTCGTTCCAACAGCAACAACAGCAATCATCCCAGCAACCAAAATTCCAATCCACCACCGAGCACTTCTCTAAAGACTTCAAAGCGAAGTTTGACCCGTACAACAGTTACCACCAGAGTACAAACGAGGAGGCGGGTGAAACGCTGAAGACTGCTCCTAGCACGAATCTGAGGCCGAGCGAACTCAACGCCCTTATCCAGCCAAAACCTAAGTCGATAAACGCAACGCTGTCGGTCGGATTTAGTTTTAACAAGTTGGATGGCGGAATTGCCAAGTCCACTGTCATCGTACCGACACCGACCACACAAAAGCCGAGGCCTTTCACCACGCAACAGCCCTCTTCGACGACGCAATTTGTCCCCGCCAGTTCAACCGCGGCTTTCGTGACCGCAAAACCGACTGGCAGTGCCAAAAAGGCCGTTACCAAAGACAAGGACTCGTCGTACGATTATGCGTACTACGACGACAGCAACCATAACGATTACACCGACGTGGTGCCCGAAGACTTTTCCAGAATTCACAACTAACAAATTTTAAAATACACCCCCCTCAACAAACTTTCAAAAGCCTTTAATGTGTAAGTTTTTTGTAAATAAATCGTAGGTTTACGTCTAAAATATAATATTATAAAATTTTAAATAAAATTACGTTATAATCGTATAAATTTTTCGACTACGCGAAGCAAATTCTTCAGTGCCAATCAACTCTACGACGTTGTCATATTATACTACGACACATCGGTCAAATGTAGATTTCGAGCAGACTTGGGAAGTTTAACCGAACAACTTCCAAGAAGTCCAGCAAGTCTTGTTAAAGTATTCGTCTTGCATTACCCTAAGAAAACTCCTCGAACTACCAGTAATCATTCAAGTGCCAATTTTAGTACTCAGTAAATTTCGGCAAGTATGACTGGAGTATTGGATGGTTTACTGCGTCCAGTTATCGGTTAACAATCGAATGTGCCAGATATATGGCAGTAGTGTGCGATAAATATTACCTTTTTATTTTTTTTTCAGCAGAATATATATATGTATTTTTCAAATGACTGCTAACTTATTTTATTGGTTTTAAACAAAATATTATTTTTATCGTATTTCTCTTGGACTTATGAATAAAAACAAAAAAATCGGATTAAATAAACGCAGCAAAATATGGATAAAATGCAGTAAATACTTAAGAAAAATAAAAAGTCATCGTACAACAGCAGAAGCTGAAAAACTTTTTTTAATAAGTATTATTAATTATAATTAATTATTAAGCTTCTGTCGACATCTAAAATTAATCAGTGTTAAAATTTAACTAAAAATATATGTTTTGTATAATAATAAAGTAAAAAATTTTTATAATATCTCATTCGTATAGAGTGTCATTGTAAAAATTAGCCTTACAACCTATTGTTAATTAATATTTAAAATGATAAGTACATTTGATTTTTGTATGAATGTTTTGTAATTTAGAAATAAAATTATTCTTTCCTGTGATTTTATTTATAATTTTTTATACTGACCATTACCTTGAATTTTTATAATACATGGTATTTAGATTTTGAGCGCAACAAAAAAAAAAATTCCTATAGGTATGGCTGTTATGTAATACAATTAATTCAAAATCTAATAATTTAAATGATATTCAACCTATTTAATCTATATGAGTATAATTACGTCATAATTTATTGATTTTGAAAATGTTGAGTATTTCAAAAAAATCTTTATGAAAGTTCTTAGACAATTTAATTATAACAAATGCCTATAAAAAGTTAAAAATTGAACTAAATATTTTTAAAACGTCCTTGTGCAAGAAATATAATAGTTTCAGTAATAGTAAATTGTTTTATGCTTTTAAAATTATTTATGTTTTGAAAATTACTTGACAATAACAAATAATATTATTTCCCAAAATAATTTCAAATTTTTCGCGATTTTGCCAAGTTCTTATTGTTTTTAAATGAATACATGCAGTGAAAATTTCACGAAACTTGTCATCGGTGGACGCTGCAGACAATCAACAAGATATATTAAATATGCTCTATTGCAATAACGGAAATTATTATTATCGAAAATAATATCAACTTTTCCAATGATTTTTATTAAACTAAAAACTAAAAATAATTAATAATAATATAATATATAATAAATAAAAAATAAACCATATCATATATTTTACTGCAAAATAATTTTATATTCCATAAAATTACTTAGATAGGTATCATAAGTATGGTTGTAGAGTAGAAATATTAAAAAAATAAATTGTCGATATTTAGAATGTATATTGCCCGAATAGTTTATTTGTGACCAGAGCTCGGAAGTTATAGCACTAACAAGTTATAGAGTAAATTTTTAGCGCTTTATATTCCACTCTTTTTATCTCACGTTTTACTCGCGAAATAACTTTATCTAGTGCGCGAAGTCAACTTTTTACTTCTTTTGCGACTCTTTGTAATCCATGTATAACACTTGTTATGCGAAACATTTTTGAGTAAAGACTTTTTAGTACTTCTCCTGATTTTTCCTTCTCACACAAATCTTTGTTAAATTACGATTTCTTACTATAATTACTTGTCGCTATCAATAACTGACGATGCTTCCGATTTATTTGATATTTACATCGGACGAGGCATTTAATACGTTTGTAACTATTTTTACATGTGATACGTTAATTTCTTTGTCGGAATTAACTTTGATTTCACAAATTTTACAAACACAATACGTCTGTATCAATTGAAGTAATATTGAAACAAATTAAATACCATACATTTAGAGCCGATTTGATAAAATTTGTTTTACTTTAGGCATTTTTAAATCAATATAAAATAACGAGAGTATAGTCAGTCGTGTAAATAACACACTACCTACCTATATAATTCACGATCAATCGCACAAGTAATACATCTAAAAGAAGACGAAAGCTAAAATAATTCATTGTATCTGTTCATAGTTAAAAAATACTACGAAAAAGCTGTGCCCTACAATCAATCTGATAATTGCTAAATTATAATTAAGAACTAAATTATTGGAAACAAACCTAACCAAGTGTGAGCTTCGATAATAACTGAAATGTACTATTTTTGTTTTCGTTACCATATTCGTATTTGTATGTGCTTGGGTAGAAATCTTCTTTTCTTTTTTTTTTTTTTAATACAGTTTTGTTTATTTTTTTTTCATGTATAAATAGCAATTAAAATTCTAAATTAGCAAAATAGAATTGAAAATCGTAAATATACAAAAATTAGTTATATAAAATTTTGTATACAACATCGATGAAGTGTAAAACGAATTTGTAATTTACTTTGAATTTTCTAAGACTTACTTAAAAATGTATGCAATTTTTTAGAACTCCCTAGCCCTATTATGATACACGATAAAATGCACTACAGTGACGTCAAATTGAATCTAATATGTTACTGACTTAACCTCACGTGTCTTACGTCTATATATTATTATTTTTTTTCAGCATTTTAACATACAGAACTTCTGAGTCAATATCGCAAAATATCAATTTTATAATATGAAGTAATAAGTATATGTATCGCTATATCTAGGTTTAAAAAAAAAAATGAATCCGGTCTGAATTGTATAGTGATTCAAAAAAAAAAAAAAATAAATATTAATCAAGAAATTCATTTTTAATTTCATGAAATTTTTAACGACATTGACATTTGTCATCGTCATATAGCTACTTATAATCTTTTTTACCTCAAGAGAGTAATTTTGGAGGAGCGCAAGGCTTAGTACTATTTGGTACTTTTATTTTTTTCCGCATTTTATTAACCAGCCGCAAAAATTAAACGCGCAATGGTTTTTTATTTTTGTATAAAAGCATTAAAAGCTAAAATATTACGAAAACCATAGTGCATATAAATAGATACAAATATAGTACAATATATAATTTCATTTATGTACGGACACAATGTATATTTATTGTTTAAAGTCGTGCCTAAAAGGCGTTATTAGTATATTTTATGCACAACCACTAAAGCTACTTCCAATTGCCGTCATAACAGTTTTTTTAATTCATTGAAATATTAAACATATACCTATAAACTTTCAGCCCTATACGCATATGTCATACATGTCTAAAACACGTGTAATTACTATATGATAAATAAAGCGGAGTAATGAAACAAAAAATGGCTTGCTTAAATGTCGACTACACCTTATTGAAAATAACTCAAAAAATGACGCTACTGCTCCGTCGTTTGGGACCCACGCGGCCACACGATTTGGAAGACAGTCGTCTACTCGAACGCGTTCAAAGAAAATCCCTAAGTCGTCCAAGACATACACATTAAAAACTTCTATTTTTCTCTTGAATATACTCGTATACCTCAGTACGATTAACTTAATCTATTCACTTATCACTTAGTAATAACTATAGAATTAAAGCTGTAGTAGACAGTATCACTTACAAATTATTTCGTCGCTTCATTTCAATTGAATAATACGATCGTTAAATTACCGTAACGAAATACAATATACGCAGACTGCAGTTTGCGTATAACGCAGAATATATATATATAACATAATTATCCGTATAAAAATTTCGTTTTCAACATTATTGTTTCTCTATAAGCCGCCCAACACAATTAATTTGTACGTAATATACACGCTGCGTCTTGTTCGCCTGCCGGACGACGACGGATATCGAATTAACCACGGAACTGCGTCTCGGCGGGAAGTTTGTGATCGGCGCCAACAACGCGCATTTGCAGTAATAGCGAGGAGCGTTATTAGCCGTCGCTGGGTGTACTACGAAAAACTCGATTAAGTGTTTTCGTCGGTGTATAAAACCGACGGGACCGTTGCCGTTTTCGTCAGTGTGTCGTCCGATCTGCCAGAGGGTCTACCGTGCAACACAAAGCTGCGTAAGGGTTGTCGGATAGATATTCGGTTTCGAGGGTAACAAAATATAAAATTCTATACTTTTAACGCGTTTTACAGAAAAACTTCATCTCGACGACCCAAACGATGAACACCATTTCAACCAAGAAAATCGCCTTCCTGGCCGCCGCGCTGGCATTGGTCGCGGTCGTCGGCTACACGGCGGCGGACATGGCGGATGTCGGCTTGTGCATCAGGAACTGCGCGCAGTGCAAGAAGATGTTGGGCGCCTACTTCGAAGGGCCGCTGTGTGCGGATGCGTGTGTCAAGTTTAAGGGAAAGATGATACCGGACTGCGAGAACATCGAATCCGTGGCACCGTTCCTCAACAAGCTCGAGTGATTTGCGCCTAGCACCCGTCACCCTTAGACCGCGATTATATTATACGTCATGCATTTCGAAAATAAATAATCATATTGTACACGCTATACACAGGCTGCAGCCATACTTACCGATTATTTAGTAAATATAGTGTTAATGATTATTATTGCGAGATCATTTTATGTATTCGTTTAAAATAAAAACATAACTCATAATGCGATTGTATGGTATAATTGTAATCAACAACGATAATTAATATACTAAACCGATACTTATACTATTATACGATTTTTATTATTATTTTTATTTACACGAAAAAAAAAATATTTCCAGTGATTTATTTCTGGTCTCAGAGTGTTGTCGAGGACTTTTGACGTGATGTTTTAAGGCTGACGATGAAGAAATGTGTTAGAAAATGATTATTATTATTATACTACTAATGGTACACTAAATACGTATACAATACATATTTTTAAATAAATCTAAGCTATCAGTTAAATTTAAAAGTGAAAAATATGAAAAATTTATGAATACAAAAAAAAAACAGGTCTTATTTTATAAAGAGGTTGAGAAATTTCAATAGTATTTTGATTTTACGTATTTTTCTATGAATTATAGAAAATATTCAACGGTACTTCTTCTAACATCGTTTTGTAAAAAAATGGTACTGGGAATCATAAAAAAAATAATATATTTTGATCACTGTGAAATAAAAATACTCAAATTAAATCAAACAATACAGTAGTGCACTACAATGAAACAATTTTTATTGAAGCTTATTATTATATTATATAAATATAATAAACGATAAAACCTATTGTAAAATATTTAATACCTAACTGCGCAGGTTATGAGACTATGGCGGGACTGAGCTAGCAAATTTTCGTATAAATACTAAAAAAATGAATGGCATAATATAAAATATATTAATAGTATTACATTATTATTTTTTAATAAAATAGAACACGTCAACATAAAATTTTTTTCGGCGTATCCTATAGGCAAAATAGGTACGTTACTGTACAGTTCAATATTGACCACATTACATTTAAAATATTAATTAAACCCTTAGCATATAGATATACAATGCGACAATGGGTGTATCCGATAATGTGTAATTTGTCAAATACAAAAATACTTAAGTGAAATTAAAAACGTATAAGACAAAAACGGTTAAGTGCATGTTAAAACTTAAAATTAAAACGAAATATACGAAAAATCATCACATATAGAGTATTAAACGTTATACGTAAGTATAATAATAGTATGTTTTAGAAATTTAGAACACCTGTCCTTCAATCATCATCGTAATTTCGTTTTGAGTTATAGGATTCCACGTAACCGAATAAAAACTTTGAGTGACTACGAAAACACGGAAAATATAAAAATATTATGTCTCGAGAAAAAAATGTATAAATACTGTCGTAGGTACCTAGAATTCAAATAGGTATTTGTCATGACTAAAAAAGCTTTAAAGCTGCATGGTTCACTGCCGTGATGCCGTGTGCTTTTTATCGTATACTAATTCTCCGTTGTAATAACGGCATCATTATCATCGTCAACGACATCATTTGTTTAGTAAGCCATGAACTACCAGGAAATGTTTAGAATTGATAGGATTTCAAATTTCGGATACAAAACGATAGTGTGCGTAGCTGTGAGTCTGGCTTAAAATATTACTATAAACTAAAGCAATATGGTACATGTTACTAGTAAAATTAGAATGTTAATACTTTATGATTTGGTAATAGTAATTACGATTCAATTAATAATTGTGTTTAATAGCATTTAATCGACATATAATTTTTTTTACCTCGACAAGATTTTTTATGTGTTCTTCAAACTCATTACATATAAGTAATCTAACATAAATCTTGATTTTTTGTCAATTTCAATAACTCGTCCGTTTTTTCCAATCATTTCTATAAATCATTATAATTAATTACATTTGTTGATTTTTTTTAACAAGGCCTATATATATATATTTTAAAAATGATTAAAAAATGCAATGTGCTATAATGCTAATTTCCCTACGTAGAAATTGACGAAACTTCTGAAGTCATACAGTAATTATATTATCAAGGCGATTCATAATGTTATATGGCTAATAAAAACTTTTGTAAAACATTTTCTTTGTGTCCAACGCAAATAAATTATTTTTTTATTTTTTGTTTTAGATGTAAAATAAAAAGTATGATTTTTATATTTTAAAATACCTTCCCCTCAGTTCATTTTTATTATTTTAACTTCCATACAGTAAAAAATCAATTAAAAACTACACTACATAATTGTATTATACTGCCTATTACGATGAAACGGGTAGACTAAAATATTTAATCAAAATAATAAATTGATATGTCATAGATAGATGAAATTACGAATTTTGTTTGCTGTCTATTAGTACTATGAAATAATGCGATTACGACAGATCAGACGTCAAACTTGATGATGATTATTAGATAAGACGACCAGTAGTTAAAAATTTCAAAAAATTATTTATGACATTTGAGTCACCAAGTCTCGTTCACTATGACCACATCAACGAGGGTAATGAGTAATGACAAAATAATCGAATATTTTCTAATCAATACATAGATACTGTATTTTAATGCAAATAACAAGCATTAATTTCGGCTACCTACAATGGTGCAAACTACAAACGATCAGAGTATTATTTATAACAGATGCTTTACTAGTCTGTCGATAAAAATAGATAAGATAGACTTAACACTTTATACTTATATTTTTGTCTAATTCGTGTTTTTACCTGACCGTATTTAAAATTATCTTAAACTTACATAATACCTGATAATTTTTCATTATTTAAATACTCTCATACTATATGGAGGTGTAATTATATATATATATATATATATATATGATTGTATTTTATAATGTAAATATATCTATATAAAATGGTCAATAATACGAATATTATTTTTAATACTCATTCACCTAAATCACTTTGATAATAAATTCTATACTAATGTTTTAAAAAAAATTTACTTTTGTGTTTTTTGATACACTCGTTTGAATTTTCATGATTTTCTATATACTTCTTCATAGACATTTGACTCGTTTACTTTTAGAGTATATTCTTCTTCTAAAGTATTCATTTTGTTATTAAAAAAGTAAGAACTCTAGTAGAAAAAATATTTATCAAATTAAAAGTATTTAAAATAATTTCAAACACTTTTAAATTCTAGAAATTTGTATGATATAGTTAACCAGATTAAAAATAAATAAATTACTTTGTTATTAAAATATATTTAAAAAAATTTATAATATTGTTTTATATAAACTTTAAGAATATTATATATCTACATTAAAATTCAAAATTTACTAAATAATCATTAATTTATCGCCACAGGCATGTATGTACAGTCAAAGACAACAAAAATTATTTACCATTGAGATAATTGCCAATTGGTTAAAAAATATATATATCTGCTTAATAAGTTTTGTTTTTATTAAATTATCATAGTGATTTCAATTGATACACATTAATACTATTGATATGAAAGGTATCAGTAATAGTTATTATATTAATTTGAATTATTTTTGTCATAGATTCAATGTTATTGTTGAACAATTATGGTAAGTATATTCTAAACGGCTATATACCTATTTAATGTATTGTAAATCGACAATTCAAAATAAAAAAAAAACAATCCCTCTAATTCCATTGTTTTGAAAACTAAATCATTATTTTACAAATAAATTAACAATGATCTCAGTAAAATATATCCAATTTATTATCTCAAACGAGTAATAATTTTATTAACAGTCAAGACAGGCTGAAAACAGTTATTATTTCGTATTACATTAAAATCGATACTTAAAATGTTCGATTTATTTTGATAAAAAATAGAAAAATTTTTCTCTTTTAACATTAACTTTAACATTAATCGCATTTGCATTGACAAATAAAAAAATAAAATGTATATCATTTATTTATATATAAAGGATAATAAAAAATATTAAAACTTTTTACAAAATAAAAATACGTATAACAATAGCTAGATTGCATCATTTTAATAATAATAACAATAAATATTACTTATGATTTATTCTAAGATACTTAGATACGGTTAATAAGTAATTTTTGTTCTACAGTGAATCTAAATAAAAATGTTGTTGCGATATATTATCACTAAGTATATCATTCATCTATATCATAATATTATAATTTGAATTATACTCATACAACACTTTTATATTTAATAAAACCATTGCAAACGAAATGTTCGATAATGGACGTGTCTAACGCACCAGAATAATTAAGTCGTCTCTATTTCGACGATATAATAATAATATGTCAAATTAGCCACATGCTAGTGCGCGGCGGGCAGTGGGAATTTTCAAAACGAAAAAATTCGATTAAATTGTATAAACTGCGAGTATAAAATGACCGGCACCGGTACCGATTTCGTCAGTGTTATAAGTTCAGACTTACGAGGATCTACGACTAGCACATAAGCTTTTACGATCTCAAAGGTGAGTTGGGTGACGGGTTTTTTCCAGAGCAAGGCTCATTATTAGGCGTTGACGGTAGATTATTATTATTATTTTTTTTTTCCAAAGGAAATAAACTTGGAACTTTTTGAAACTCAAACGATGAACACTTCTTCCAAGAAAATCGCCCTACTGGCCGCCGCACTAGTATTGATCGCGATCGTCGGTTACACGTCTGCGAACATGGCGGATGTCGGCTTGTGCATCAGAAACTGCGCTCAGTGCAAGAAGATGTTGGGCGACTACTTCGAAGGATCGCTGTGCGCAGACGCCTGCGTCAAATTCAAAGGCAAGATGATACCGGACTGCGAGAACATCGAATCCGTGTCACCGTTCCTCAACAAGCTCGAGTGATCTGCGCTAGCGATTTCGCAATTCGAGTATAGTAGTTAAACAATAAACATTTATGTATAGTTGATAGGATAATATTATTGTGATTCTTTTATAACGTGTACGCGGTTTTTGGTTATTGAAACGTTCTAGAAATAAATCATATTATTCGTTACGAGTAAAATAAAATCGTGTTGATTATTACGGTAGGTATAATTATATACGAAGCACGTGGTACGTTCTAGAACGACTTGACCCGTGAAAATTTTTTTTTTTTGGTCAAATCCTCTAATTAAAAATGTCATGTTCAATGATATAATATTATGATAGCACATTACATTTTGTTTTGGCTTCGGAGTTTAAATAATTTATTTTCAGTACCATATAGGGTTATTCGTGGACAAATATTCGTAAAATCATTGAATATTTTGGGTTAAACCTCAATTAGTGGTGGTGGTTGAAATGGTAGTGATAGTACTGGTGCAGGTTATTGGTGATAATCGGTGATGATCGCGTGGCGGTTTCTAGACGTCCTGTACGTACGACATCCTCCAATAGGCTTTCGACTTCGGGGACTTGTCGTCGGCGTCATGTAACCTGGACTGAACGGAAGTCGATGACGGTTCGTACGCGTAGTCACCAGAACGATAGAAATACGGTGACTTCGGTAACGATTTTGAGGACCCGTGACCATGGTACGCATCGTCTTCGTCGTCGCTGTCCGCGGAAAAGTGACCATGGTAATCACGTGGCGTGTCTTCGACCACATCATATGAGCCTTGCCCGTGATTGATATTGTATACGTCTGCGGGATCGACGTCGTCGGAGTTGCTGCGCGTCATTGACACGAACGACTTGGGTCCTTCGTCGCTATTCGATAACGGGCGACCGGAGTATGGCGACGGTATGTCATGATAATCGTCAAATTCACCATCAGTCTGTTTACCACCGCCTACGCCATACGAATATTTTGACGCCGGACTACCTCCACGGACACCCCCAAAACCTCCCCCACTACTCCCACCGCGCAGCGGTACAAAGTCATGACCGTGCAGCGCCGACGAAGAACTGCTGCTGCTGCCGCTCCCGTGATTCTTGTAACCAAATGGCCGTGGATGATAGGTTGGTGCCTTGGGTGCGCCATACTTGTTAGACTTGACAGGCTTTTTGGAGTCCAAAAAGTTTGGTAGAGTTAACGGCCTGTGACAAAGGAAAAAAAGTAACGTCAATACGTGTAACGCAACAAAGTTACATAATATTATTAATAATATTAATATATGCTACAATATGTAATTATGGTATAACATATTATCGTTTATATTTTCATACGTTACAGTTTTTACGGTTATAATAAATTATAATGTGGAATGTTTGTATTTCAAACTACTGATTCAATAAAATAGTAACAACAATATTGGTAATTTTACTTGAAATATTAATCGACTCAAATAATGGCATAACGTTTCTAATGTTTTTTTTTTTTTTTAGAGTTAGTAGAACTTAGGGAATAAAAAATTAAATTGTACGACATAACGCATTGTCTCCATTTCTAACGGGCTTGGCATTAAAGCTTGAACATTGTTCGAGAAAATATTAAACGGATTTAAATATTTCGTTGAGATCGAAATATCAACATGAATATCATCTCATAATTTTTTAATCGTAATATGGTTTTATTGCCGTCGCCGCACGCACCTGTGGTTGCCCTTGTGGTCGAACTCCATGGGCACGTACTCGTAGTGCGAGTTGTGGTCGCCGTCGTCAAAGTCGTCGCTATCATCCTCCAGTTCTTCGTTCGGACGCCGGCTGCTGTAACCGCGGTAGTTGTTCACCGGTCTGGTTCTGGGCGCTTCGAACCCGTGCCCGTTGGCCGCCTGGAACTCCTCGTCCACGTCGTAGTCTACACGCTGCTCCATGATCGCTTGCGTCATGTCCGGTAGCCCGTCCGTAGCGTCCCGCTTGATCGGCGTCGTCTTGGGCACGTCCAGCCCGACCAGCACCATCTCGTCCGACAGTGGCGGGTCGTTGTTCCCGTCCGCCGTCTCGTTGCCGGCCAGCGAAGCGACTTCGGTGCCCCGTTTAAACCTCTTGTCGTTGCCGCCGAATATGGCGTTCGAGTTCATCACCGCGTTGCCGTCCAGCTCGTCCGTCGCCTCGATGATCGTGATCACCCGCGTTCCTGTTGCGTCCGTCAACCCGATCCCAGTGTCCACGACCGTGGCGTTGCAGTTTTCGCAGAACTGTATCTTTGCTTCCGTCATGCTGGATTTGAGATTTTTCTCCACGTTCGACTGCAAGACACCGGGAAAAATGTGCAAAAATAAAGTATCGTATACAGTATAGTTAGGTATATGATTAAACGTGATATAGGTTTTTTTTTTTTTTTAACTCTGTAAGACTCTAGAAAATTACAGTAAATAAGACAGTAGCGCAAAAAAATGTTTTTCAAAAAACAAAAGATAGGTTTAATGATTTAAAAATAATTGCTATTTGATGTACTAATGTTTAGATTATACCTATAGGTTAAAAATAAAATAATAAACGCAGTTTATATAAATTAAAAACATCTTTTAAGGTTACAAAACGCCCGTTTTTAGTTTCATATAAGTATCTGCATCGTAACGATAAAACAACACATCACGTATTTATGTCGAATCCGATTTCAACCATCGTGCACATTACAATGTATAGCTGTATAATAGCAAAATAATAATAAGTTTTTAACTTGTCTTGAAAATAACTCCATCTCTTATTAATCCAAAATATGCCAAATATTCGGTAATTGATTTTAAATCACTTTTTGAAATTTACAATCAAAATTATTATTTTGAATTTTAACCACTCAAAACGTAATAATTTAACTTATACTTTTAAAAATAATAATATTAACTCATGGAAATAATGGAAATAAATAATTTGTTTTATACGTGACTTTAAAATTAAAAAAAAAAATAATTTACAATTATTTGCAGTACTTATACTTTTGAGTAATATAACTTAGAAAAGAGGATGGCTGTGTTTTTATTAAACAAAATATTATTATTACTAGGTATATCATTTAGAATCAAATTAATTTAGGCGATAAAGTTTCATATTAAACATCGACAATGTCGATACTTCGTCTTACATATTATAAATTATGATTTAGAAAAATTAATATAAAATATATTCTAAGTACTAACCAGTCTAACATTGGGTTCGGCCGTATCTAATGTCGTGTCGGCCCACTTGCTCAGATCCATCCTAGGTATGACGCCGCTCCTACACGGGACCCTCGGATTTCTATAACACAATTAAAGCCATCGATTAAGTAATTATAATGGTGTATAATAGCGATGTAATGTACTAATATATTATACAATATACGTACAATTCGTGATCCGACAACACCATTGGATACATTTGAACCGTGTCAATGATGTCCGTATTGTCGCAAACCAAACGCGCCAGTCGGACGTTCCTAATCTCTTGTAACTGATCTATAATAATAAACGCCAACGATGTCATGATCACTGCAAAATACTTATTAAGCAAGACGTAGGTATTTTAGCTATATTTACCCGGTGAAAACGATGACGGTTGGTCGGGCAATTCGTACCAAAACCGATCACCCTTCTTCAACAAACTGAATTGCGATGCGATAATGCAACTGAACGTCGGTCCGACGACACTTCCTGGAGCTGGTTTTTCCGACACTCCGCCTGACCACAAGTCGATATCGAACGGTGATCTTATAATTATAATAATTGCAATAATTAAACATTAAAAAAATTGATTTTAAGTTTAAAACAATAATAATATACGTGCATTACCGCGTAATGACTGTATTTTAGTATGCGGACTACCAAAATGTTTTCTTATCCAAGTTGAAGTTAAGCAAATTAGATCAGTTTAATGATATAAAAGAAAAAAGGGAAAATAAGAATTTTCAACCTCGAACAATTTAATATATATTTAGAGAGAAACATTTAAAAACTAAGATTGTTTGATTGCCGTATAATCGAGTTATGATTATATTGCCTTACTAAACATCCAATTGTTTTTTGGTAGACCGTAACTATAAAAAATAATTATTATGTTTAATTTTGACTAACGAATAGATCGTTTGATAGCGTTGTATAGTGGAATTAGGCATGAATCCCACCATTTCTTCAAATCTGTTGGCCACAGTCAACCCACAATGGCGTCTATACTCCATGTAACCGGGCAATCCGAAGTCCCTACCCCTCTGAATGTTGAACGACACTAGATCGAAACCAAACCCTTTTCCCGGCTTTTTGATCAAATTATTTGTCACCTCTTGCGTTATCGAATCGTCCATTGCCTGTGCAACTTGGTTCATGAGGCCCATTAGGTACTCGTCTAAAGCGCCGGCTCTGTACAAATCGAACGGCCGCCGAATCAAGTCCGACAGTTTTTTAGAAGCTGAAACAGTACAAAATACATCACGTCAAACGATGTCACAAGTTTAAATTATTATGGTTTGTACCGATAAAACCGTGAGCTTTGCTCCAGCGTTCAATAACATTCGGCAATAAAGAATGACCGAAACGAAAGGCCGCCGCCGAAAACGAAGCCAATATATTAGGATTTGCATGTGAATCATATCCGTCCCAATATCCCTAAAATTCGACAACAATATTATAACAACACAATAAATAATTATTATAGCGTTTTATTGATAATACTTTATATTGATTTTATCAAAACAACATTTACTTTTTTTTTGTTCGTCAGACTATATTTATCCATCATGTCTTTCCCTAAAAGTATGGGCAGAAATTCGTTGTACGTTATGTGTTGTATTTCAGCTACGACAATTCTCTTGGCTTCCTAAAATCAAAGTAACATTATCAACTGTTCGCCGTAAATTATGCGTTAGGCCAAACCGCTTACCTGATAGAGCATTTCGTCATTCCAATGTGGATTTATTTGCGACAGTTCCTTAGCTATCCGGTTATGTTCTCTGGCCATCAGTGTATGAATGCACGTGAGAACGAGCTGTTCGTTCACTCTAATTTCACCTACATAATAAATTTGTTCATAAGTTAATCAACGAAGAAAGATTGTTTTCTTTTAAAACATGTTCCCACACAATTAAAAAAGTTACAAGTTAATATACTAAAAATTAGTTAAAAATAGTTTACAAAATAAATACTTACTATGAACAAATCACCTATAACTTTTTATAAGTATAAAAATATTTGGTAACTGAATTTTTTTTTTGTAATTTTTAATCACACTACAAAAACTTTAATTTTTTTTTTCTAATAATATTTTTCTTTGAAAACACATGCATATTATAACATTTTTTTATAATACTCGTGTATACTATGTAATATATTTTTAGTGTGTACTATTAATTCTCCATACTTTAAATGTATACGTATTTTTATTAGTGTATTATACATAAATATTGTACAGGATGGGTAGATGTAGAGAGTTCAGATTTATGAAAAAATATATACCTATTATCCAAACGTGTTTTTAAATGTTTTGTAAATATTAGCCCTCGTATTCCCTTTATAAATGCCTCTAATTCGTATAAAAGTTACTCTGTTATGTTATAGTATACAACCAATACGTGCATTTAATTGCTACAAATCTGATAAATAAATTGAATTATTTAGTAAAAGTATTAGAAAAAAAAATAACGTTACGAACCTGATTCAAAACAATACTGAGAAGCATTCGACCTGATACAACCTTCGTCCGGAATGTTCAACTTCATGGGCAACAGTTCTTTCAGCCCCAAATTCGCGAATGCCGGGTTCATCCTCAGCTGTCCTGTGTATCCAGACCTAAGATACTGGGAAAACGCTTCATCTACTCCGTAAATGGTATTGCCGTCGATCACTGGGGTGAGTAGATTAAACGGGGACCTTGGTCCTACAATACGAAGTAGAGTGGGAATTAAATAGAGTAAAAAAACGTTATCAGCCCAGAGCGGTGGGTTGTTCATTTCTAATATACGATTACACCTACCCAATTTACAGTCGGGCTTAATGCCTGGAAACGCTCGCACGAAATCCTGACACTTGACGTTGTGTTTCCTATAAAAATTATCGTCTTCCGGTATTTTAATCTCGTAGCAATATTTGTTCTTCAAGTGGTCCGGACGACCACAGCACTCCTCAGGTTCGTTTCTGTTCACCGGATCTGCGTTAACACATGAAAAATAATATAAATCAAATAAAAATCAATAAAGTCGTAATCGAATTATGCTTACCTAACGGGGTGGCTGTCAGGGTCAAATCGTGATCCATGAACTGTCCCCAGGCAACCAACATTACAGTTCCTGCGTGCTCGTGCAGTCCTTCGTCAGGGTGAATGGTTCGGGACACGACCCTGGCCATAGGTAATGGTTGACCGGAAACCGATATCTTGGGCGCGGACAACTTGTCGGAAAACCGTGGTGTCATCAACCTGAAAAACGAATACAGTGGTCCATAAAAACTAGTATAAAGCCAAAAATGTGGTGATTAAATATACCTGTTGAACGTTGACATAGCCGCGCCCCACGTTGGATTTTTCTCATTGTTGCAAAGCCCGTCGGGCCTACGGTACTTACCGGGTTTGCACACTACTCTCGTCATACACGACGGGCACACGTTCCTGATGAGCGTCTTGGACGTGTCAATAGCAGGCAAGAATTTGTTCACGTCGTCGGCGTTCAAGTCATACCTGCGACCGATAAAAAAACAGTTACAAATAAAAAATAATCTGCATCTGTATTATACTAAAGGCATATATAGTGTAAAAATTGATATATTTATTATCATGTTGGTCGTTTAAGGCTTTACATTTTTGCGAGCACTTGCGACACGTCTAGCAGCAACTCTCCTAGTCTGGCAAAGTGCACCGGGCTCCATTGTTCATTAGGTTCCAGCAGCGCTATAACATATTATTATATTACAATATGCATTGTGAATAATAATTATTTTTATTAAAAGATCTATCGTCGGAATTCCCGATCGAGTGAAACTAGAACGTCTTCCGTGTGTATTTTTACTCACTGTGACGGTTTTGGACGTCTAAAAAAGCTCTGTTGACCGTGTCGTACGTGATGCACATGTGAGCCGCCGAACGGCGCCTGTCAAGAAAACACTCGTATTATGTAACATATAATTTTGATCAGTGTTAGGTAAAAAACTCTATGATTTATCGATGATTAAATTTTATAATCATAGCATTATTATATCATATTAAAGAATCGAGATTTTATATGGATGAAAAAATAAATATAATTTAGCAATGAAAACCCATCGTTTAGTGAAAATAATCAAAATTCTAACGTAATCCATGATAATCGATTCATTTTGTTTAGCAATTTAGTGTTACTTGTATTCATTATAAAATATATAATTTTAAATTTTAAACAAATTATATTAAAAAATTCAATACATATATATTTTGTTTACTTAAATTTATAAATTTTAAACGATAGCTGAATAAAAATTTATTACACACTACACATCAATCATAAAATTTTTTTGACCAATAATGATGATAATGTATAATCCCTATCTGCATTACTTTCAACATGAATCGGTAAACTACCGGAAATATCGTTATTACTGTTATTAGACTTTGTTATACTTTGATAGTTTGAAAATAATAAAAAATAATTTCATATTCCAAAAAAAAACATTTTTTAGTTAGATATCGTATTAATGGAACATTTTAAAATTCAAATAATAAAATAGTACAACATATATGTGTAAAAAACTAAAATCATAAATGAAATTCACTCAAATTTCGAATATTGATGTCACCAGTTTTGCATACATCAAAAGAATCTACCCGTAATAAATCTCATGTTAAGACAATTAATTTTTTTTCACGTTATTTTCGAAACTTACGGTGAACCTTTTCCGCTGTTATAAATGAAATGCTTCGATCCTTCTAGCACGACGGCGCAATCGTTGCCGTCCACGCCTTCGACTGGTGCGTATTGTGCGGCGTGTCCAAAATACCAGACGAACGAACACAGCACGAACATTCTGTAATCAGTAGTAATAAGGTTATAATTAATTAGAGGTGGGGATCATAAATATTCTCTTAAAATGTATTTTACATGATACGCAACTACACGGTGTAATCATGTAGAAATTTAGAAAAAAAATAATCCGTATAAATTATCTATTTTCTTCTCTTGATTTAAACTTTTCCTCTGCCCTCCGATAATAACATAAAAGTCAATTACAATTACATTCATCAATTGAGCTTGAAAATGTAATTACAATCAACTCGCGATATAACGAATGAAATTACCAGTCTCTTGAAAACATCGCGATATTAGAAAAAATTTAATGTATTTTGATCCCCTCGATATAGCGAAGCTTTTTTGATCAAAGCTCTTGCGATGTAACGAAATGTACAAGTTTGGAGCTTGCTATTACGAATTTTAAATTTTAATTAAGATATTATACATGTCTCTAGTGTATAACTCTATGAAAAATATATAAAAATAAATATGTTACTATTTTAAAAATAATAAATGCGCATGTATAATGCACAGCGATATTATTATATTAAAAGCAATATTATTATACATTTAAACTGAAATTAAACAATAAATACATACTTATATTACTCGTGAATTTTATACATAAGCTGTATGCAATTAAATACAATTATTAAATAAAAATGTATTTGTTTTTTATTGTTTTAAATTTTGAATTATTCTTAAAATCTCGTTATAACGAATTTCAATGTAATGAACTTTCGATATAACGAATTTTTTTCACGGTCCCTTGAAGTTCGTTTCATCTTGAGTTTACTGTATTATATTAACATTGTACGTGAACCGTTCGTCTCTGTTTTTATTTCGAGTGTTATTACTATTATATTCACCAGCTTTTATCGATTTTTATCGTTATTATTAATTTTGTTTTTCTGTTCTTGACGATTAGTCTACAAATAATATTGATGAGATATAATTTATAAGTTTATAACGTGCAAATAGCTACGGATGAAAATAATTATTACTCTTGCGATTTTTCTATCATATTTTTGTAAACCGTTTTTGTTGATATAATAATAGCACGACGTACCGGGCGCGGATCCAAGGGGCCATGCCCCGCTGCCCCGCTCCTGCAGACTCTAATTTTTTAAACTTTTTCAAAAATGTTTCTATACTCCATGTAAAATTAATTTAACCTAAGAATTATTCACCTCTTATTTCACTTATTTTATCGTACCGATAAGCCGGAATGTAAATAATTGTATTTACCTATATTATTAGCCGCTTACATAATACGTATTTACATCTGCACTACGTATTTTTATTAGAATTGGGCTGAAATCGTATTCAAGGTGTCCCCTGCTCCCCCGTAAATACGTCCCGGAACCGCGCCTGACATAGGTTAGGTCTGACGTGCGCTAACAATATAATATTGTATTCAAATGTTTTAACCGCCGCGGTTACATCATGAATTCATAAACAACGTTTGAGTCTTACAGAACGTTCAAAGAACACGTGTGTACACGCACGCGCGCGCGCACACACAGACATTATCATCGTTCAAACAGCGTTCTATACATACATCGGTTCGCAACAAATTCGCGCGAGTGTTATATATTATTGTGTCGCGTTGATTTTCTTTTGCCGTAATATTTTATACGTATCATACCATAATGGTATATACTATATATACCAAGTCATACACGCATCACGAGCGTAACCGACCAAATACGCGAGCGCGCGCACGCGAAATATTCATTTTTTCCGGTCATTCAGCCGTGAACAAAAAAAAGAAAAAAAAAATATTCGTTTTTCACCCGGCACGTGGAAAACGAACCGACGGGAAACTCGCAACGTTCACTTGTTCGCGCGTGTTTGTTTTCATATTATTATTATTATTATTATTATTATGCGTTTCAAATTTCACTCTCCGCCACGACTATACAGTGTGATGCGATTGTACGCATCTGATATAATATCGTAAAGTTTTCTAAAATCCCACTGCATTTCTTTCTTCTCGCACGGCAAATAATATTGGAAAAACGTCCCGAGCGCGTTTATTGCGGTTAGACGCGCCCGCGCACTCGCTCAATAATACGTAGACGGAGATCCGCGACGATTCAACAACAACGTTCCAACCACCGCGCGAGACGATTAGTCGATTTCTAATACAATATTACGAGTATATTTATTATGTTCACCCTCAATCGCACGTTTTGCGCGCACCGTACCCGCATTACGATTTGATAGCGCCGAATTATTGTGCGATTCCGTCACAACAATAATATTGTACGTTTACGCAGAAACTGTAACATAACTATATACGTGTTAATGTGTGAAATGATCGCCTCTGAACTATGCGCCGCGCTCGTAATTCGTGTCGAGTTGTTCACGGAAATCAAATCAAAACATATGTTTACAGCTATATTTTACCAGTGACTTGTGTCAGTTTAACGTTCATAAAAATTTTTAAAACAAGGCATTACACGTTACTATATATGGTTCGTGATAAACGAGACGTCTAGAACACGAGGGGCATAAGTGACATTATTTGAACTTCAATAATCAAGCTCAAAGTTCACAGTATAGTTGCAAAAATCAAAATACGAAAATGTGTTATTTGAATTTTTTCTGTATATATACCTATAAATATGTAAAATGTAAAAGATATTTTATAATTTGAACAGGACATTTTGGATCTATAAGAAATATAAGTGAGATAAAAATAAAAACTCAAGACTTCTGATATTAATGATTATTAATTCAATAATAGTGACATACACACGAACTTATAAAACGTTATATATAGAACAGAAAACCTCCGTAGAATTAATCAGAATAAATTTGTCAATTTGAGAACTAAAACCTTGTTAGGTCAAGATTATTGATTAACTATATTATGACGCTGTTAATTCACTAAAATGGCCATTTTATTTAACAAATTTGTTTGTAACATTTCTATAAATTATTTTATATAACACATGCAATTTTTTAATTATGTATATAGCTCATGGTTGATTAATCAAACGTATTTTTTAAATATGAACCTTTCAATAAGATCAGAAATTCAAAAAATTTATTGTTGAGAGATTAAAAATTCATTGTTAAAATATAATGTTCTTTTTTTATATTAAAAGTAACCTAACCTATCTCTAGTATTATAATTTAAAATTTATACTTCTTGGTAGACGCGCTGATGAAATCAGAGATGGTTTGAAAGTAATATTTCAAATTTCTTATAGCTGCTTTCAAATAATTTCAAAAAAATTACTAAAAAGGTAAAATTGACAAAATTTTGGAAAAAGTTATTTCAAACAGATAATGTTATATGCTTGTGTTAAATCATTTTTTTGTAACTAAAAAATTCCCAAACTAATTTAATTTTTAGAGTGGTACCAATATCTTAATGGATATATTTAACTACCTACCCATAAAGCTTTACTGTTGTTCTACTTGTTTTATTTATTGTTTTTAAAAGTTATCACAGTAGCATTAAATAGCTGTAGGCAAAACTATCCTATAAGTTAAATTAAATAGTAGAAACTAATAGCTTATGAATTTATGATACCACCTTTAGTTGACTGAGTAATTTCTACACTTGAAAAATACAGCAGCTTAAACCTAAATTGGGTAAATTCTATTCCGTTAAACTTTCCAGATCCAGCGATTTATACATATTTTTTATATACCTATTCTATATACTTTTACCATTTTAATTCCATGTATTTTGTTTAACATTAAACTTGGTAATTTTACGAAGTACACATTTCGTTATTTCTAGTGCTACAGTCTCGAGCCCTGGTCGGCTGACCATGATAAATTAATAATGATTATTAACAATTTAATATTATTCAACTTACCGCAGCCCCATGATGGCGGCCATCCGCTCGTAAAGTAATCGCTTAAGTAATTTTCCCCGGACGATTCCGGTCGTGTGCACGATTGACGTAATCAATGCCCGCGAATCCGATGATGTATTTGTAAAACCGGAAACGGCAGTTGTCTGAAATCGCGTTTATAATATGATAATAAATGATCTATGCATAAACGTACAGACGTACAGTCGGTGAAAAACGATTAATCGATTGGTAGATCGTTTACAGATCGATAGCAACGAGACTGTCGTGATATTCCGTCCGGAGGTGACCCTACACTGGTGGCTGTACAGCGCGCGCCTCCCGTACTTCTCGCGCCTGATTTCGATACGTAAACCCCAGTGAGAAAAAGGGGGGATGGCAGAGTGGGAAAATCCGAATTAGATATTTCATTTATTATTATGAGAAAGGGACTGGGAAAAAAGAAAAAATCTTATAATTAGATATTATTGGTAATAACTATAATAGCCAATATAGATTTTGTATTACAATAATAATGGATAAGATATTACGAAGCTTGATTAAGTTAAGTTACTAAAGCTTTTTTTTTACTAAGTGAAAAATATTTATCGACATTTACAGAAATTTTCAAATGCCAATAACCCCAAAAGAGTCAACATTTTTTTAAATTATACCATATTCAAAAAAATGATAATATAAATATTTCACGAAAAATTCAAGCATTAACGGATATTCATATTTTAATACAGCGTAATATGTATAAATCAATTTTATCAAAAACTGTTTTGCGTAAAAAAAAAACATGCTTTACCTTCATACTATGTTTTTTTGATTTTCTCAATTATTTTGAAAAGTACTGAGGTACTATAAATTTCCAATGTTGATTTCCCAAAAATACCAACTAGATATTATAATTTTCTATCAGAAATTATTTTCAAAATTGATGATCAAAATGTTTTTTTCTACGATAAAACTTATACACGTACAAGAAATACACACATCTCATCATTGTAAAATCTATATCCATCGCTCAGAAATTAAAATAATAATAACAATAATAAAATTATATATAATATAAAAATGTTAAACGACTTATGCCTATGACAAAATCTAAATCAACACTTGAAGACTGAAGTCATTAATTATTATTTTACAAATACCTTTAGTTGAATTAATGATTTCAGACGGTTTTGGGTCATGGTACAATGTACTAACATAATATTTTCTGTTATAAACAACAGTTTTATAGTTTCTTTATGCAAATTTAAAATATTATACCTATGTTTCATTATATAACAACACGGAATAATATTGTATTATTCATTTTTTTTTATCACGTATTTTAGAAAAATATGTGAACATTGATGGAACAACGGAGATGAAATACTGGTCCGAATTAAGAAATGTCCGAAAGAAGGTCCAAGCTCGAGTAATGATTGTTGAGAAAACCAAGTCAAACTGACCTCAGTAAACTTTATTGTCATTTAAACTTCATTTCTATTGCCAACCGTTTTAAAAAATACCGTAAATATGTATATCTTAAATTTTAAAACGTAACATATCTTTATTGAATAATCATAAAATTGTTATCGTTTGACCACTAGACATTAGACATGGCACACATGCCCCACCAACCAGATATATGTATATCTTATATTACACTATGTCACTTAGACCCTAAATTGTCGGTTTTGGTTTATCGGACCGCTTGGCTTTGCATGCGTCAGATGTGGTTTTTGCCAGTTAAGACTTTAGACAAATAACTACAAAAGCCCATTGTTTTCGTCGGATGTTTAGCAACATAACATTATATCATATTAATATCTATTATACATAGGAAAATTCCAAGTCCGAGCACTGCAGCTGTATAACTGGCCATTCAGCTGGTCTAATTGATTGGCCGAGCGTGGCGCGATATAGGTATATATATATACATCATACATAAATATACATAAGTGCACGCGTATACAGTGTCGAGATTACGAAAATATTATTTAATATCGTTAATATCGTTATGACTTACGTCTTACGATGTATCCGTAGGATATAAACGTAGAATAATTTAACACCGAACTCTGTTGACCCACAAAATAACTTAATCGCATTCAGCATTGTACGATACGATTTTTAATAGGAACGATAAACATGACCAGATCATAGGAAAATACAGTTAAACGCGTAAGGATTTTATCTGCAGTTCAGTATAGCTAAATATTACACCCACAACAACAACTTTATTATTAAACAAACAGTTCTAAAATACAACATCAACGCCCATCCATCACACAGTAAATTATATCACCCACGAGTTTATGAAACACTAGTTTAGAGTAGCCGATAACTATTAAATGGAAGCAATAGTACTCACATTGAAAATAATTACTGAGCATATAAATACAAATTGATAATTTGTATAAACATAAACAATTATAATATGAAGTATACGTTATAAAAATATAAAGTCTTTTCAATATTTTATGGTCACAAACAACTTACCGCTCAATAGGCAATTGTCTACACAACAGGACTTTAATTAGGTAAGTCACTCGTGTCGCAACATATTATGATTAATTTTATATCTCGCGGTATAAAAGTGTCAAGTATGAATTGCATTAGATAACCACTTGAAAAATTAACTTTTAACTTTTTAGTTTAAATAACTAAGTACTGAACTATTTAGAGTTTATTGATTATAGCAACTCGACTTTTTCCTGTTAATTTGAAAATGTATCCATTAAGTTAATAACATACGTTTTAATGTATCATACATACGATTATACATAACTATTGATTATTAATTAATCAATCGTTTGTCTAATTTGATCACGCACAATGGAATGGTCTTAAATAACAATTAAATATTCCTGTATTCAATAGTCAATTTACCACGAGTAAATCGTTTGTTCACACCTAAAAGCATCACTTGCTGCTAATTAGAAATAATTGCCATTAATTTTTCTAACGTTTACTATTGTGTTTAATATTGCTGTGAATTCGCCTATAAGCTTACATAATATTATTGTAAATTATTTTCTCAGCACTAGTAGGTATTTCGTTAAATTGTACGACGCCTAAAACGTGTCATAATAATATATCGTATTGCAATGATCTAAAATATCCTACAAACATCAATCGAAATAATCGGTGTAATTTTATTTTTGTCGTTAATATTAATATAATCATTATATTGCAGATGATGATTTCATCCATGAATAGAAATTTCTCGACGGCAGAGTAATAATAAATAAGAGTAGGTATATAATAAGAATACGAACCGATGAATTTTCCGCGTTATTATCAGTCGTTTCTGGAGGAAAATAATCGCTTTGATATTATGAAAATATTCGATAATGTCATAACCCATAATACTTATTTTAATATATTAAGTATAATATCTACGTGCATAGTGCGAGAATAAATACGCTAAAAATTGTATACAAAATACATTAATACTAACCGAATCGTTTCTCCTATTTATATTGTACTATATTATAATTTACAAATGTGTATTTTTAAGTCTCTAAATATTTTTCAATACACTTTTCCGACGGAATATTATAAACCATAATGTTTTAAATAAATACAAATCTTCAGCATAATATTGTAATACACATATTTAGTTCCCGTACTTTCTATGGATCATGCACAGTGCACGCATTTTATATTGCTCTCTCTTCTATTCGCAACAAAACGCAATCGATGATAAATCGATAAAAAATGTTCACAATAAAACATTCATAGGCTAACTCTCGAACTTGCAAAGTTGACGGTATTTACTATTTACTATTTGGACGTTATTGAAAATTGACAGTACCATCATCGTTTTGCAGTGACAAGTGACTACAATGTACCCATGTCATACATTATTATAATAAGATGTGTGATTTAAACAATATTGTATTTTCCATTTAATTTTGCTCAATTTTTTTTTCATCTAGAAAATCTCTTATTTCAAGCTCAATTTTGTTAAATATAAATTTTTGTCATGTTTAAACGTTATCCAAATACTTAATTATATTAATAATGCATTCAAAGTGTACAAATAAATTTTTTTCCTAAAATATATTCTTAAAGGTAAATCTATCTTTTTTTAAGATTTTAACAACCAATTAACAGTGATTACCATTTTTATTAATTTTTGAATTGTTTTCGATCTGGCCTAACCTAACCTGACATGGTTAAACACGTACCTAGACTAAAATGATAGGTATAGTGGATACATATTTTAACTGAACAAAACCTCTGCTAACCCTCGCGAAGCAACGTTTCTCGTTGTATTGGAATATTTTGGTTTTTAACCCATGGACAAGACCATAAGGTTATTGTAAAGTAGCAAACATATATCCACTATAATACGACGAAGTGTACGAGAGAGATTTTACGTGGTTGGGTTCAACGTGCAATATCACACGTGAAAATAATAAATAATAGGTCGTCGATAAAGAGAATAAATATACGAAAAACTTTTTAATTTAATTTTTGTTTTTTTTTTTTACACCGTCTCACGTTCTGGCGGCCCTTTCGTAATACGCGTCTCGTTCCTATTGGACGACACGTGAAACGCGTCACCCGATTTCAGTTGGTTTGCCAAGTAGTCCGTAAAATCCGTTTTGTTTTTTCGATCGTTTTTTTTTCCACGTCTGCGTAAATCCGAGTCGATTGCACAACGGAAACGACTATGTGTAGGATTTCTCAATGCGGGTTATAAGACCGATCAATATAATATATAACATAGTATTATCTACTATTATACTACACTGCTGTTACACTAACCGACGGTTATATTGTTATTGTATATAACATAATATAAATATATTATTCATCGTTGAAAATATAATATATATTTGTTATATTATAATAATACATATATATATACGCACGACGCTGTATCGTTACGATACGACGTGTGTCGACATAGAACTGTAATATTATCGTTATGTCATTGTGGAGGTACACCGACAACATAAATACGTTGTTAAATTTTGTGTGTATGTGTGTGTGAGTATAAGCGCGTGAAAACGTCACTTTAGAAATAAGCAATTATAATCATAATTCATTTCGATTTTACTATTTTCCCGTGACGTCCGCCATTACCTGCCGACTAAACGACGTAATTAACATATCACATACACATACATACAATACAGATAATAATATAATATCACGCATGACGTACACGACTGACGGAATTGTTACAGTTTGTCGCGATGATATTGACCGCGTCCAATTTTTTCCGTGACGCAATGGTGAACAACGTCTCGACGGATTTAGATGAATTTCGTATATTGTTGTTGTGGCCACGCACAGGAACGATCGTCCGTATTTTGATTTATGTCCATTGAAACGTTTATACTTTTCTATAAATCGTCTGCTCGACGATCAACAGTAAAAAATAAAAATAAAAAAATGGTTTTTGTTTGAAAGAAAGAAATTTAATACCTTTTATCAACACAAAACGCTCATAAAAGTATAGAAATAAATCCGTGTATTAGAAAATGTCCGTTTAGTTTACTCATTAAAGCAAAAATATTATGTATGTATTTTAAAGAAAAACTTCAGGTGTATTTACATGCTCGGCGAATAACTCTGATATATAAATTGCCATGTTTTTTCATTTCCTTATAAGTATCAATCATATGGAAAATGGAAAATATTGTGACCCATCTTGTGTATGACAACAAATTGAATCAAGAAAGGCGATAATTAAACAATATTTTGAATTTTACATTATTGACATTTTCTTCTGTGAAAAACTCGCAGTATTTTCAGAACATATCACCCATAGCATACTTACCTAGTTAACTAATATCAGGGAAACATACACAAAAATTACTTAATTAATAGTTTTAGTTACACTGATAAATATATTCAAAATAATTATTCTTATTCTTCTTCTTTCAGTTTTTAGTACTCTCTTTTTATTGCCATCACTAAATCATTTTATTTTTATTTGTATTGTACTTTATTTATATATATACTTTTATTTCCACACTCCTAGGTTTTTTAGATCTTTTTATATGACATTGATCCGACTCTTTTGAGTATTTTTGAGAAATTTTTCATGACTCATGGCATTATAATATACCTATATTAATTGTTTGATATAAATTATAAAGATGACTAGGTGAGTATAAGAAATTTAAATAATGAATTGATATCTTTCTATCTATAAATATATATTATAATAACATTAGTAGGTAGGTTCGTTGAAAATTAAAAAACAAAAAATATATTTATGGGTATAGTATTTGTTCCGGAGGTATTGTTTTTGATTTTTGTCATGGCCAACGATGACCGTATAGTTCATTTAGATAATAAATATTAAAGCAATTGTGACTTCAACCTTAACATTATATATCAGTAATTAATGCAACAATAACATACTCATTACAAAATAATATCTTAGGCTGCAATAATATCAATTAGATAATAAATTAAACATTATTGTATGAACAATATCCGCGTTCATTTTAAATAAAAAAAAAAATAATTTAAATTACAAACATTATTTAGATAATATAATTCATCAATTTGTATGTTATCGATTTATAACTATAATTATCGTCTAAATATCAATCCAGTATACCTAATAACCATTTTCTCTATGACTATAACATTTATAAAATATTAATATATCTCTGAAGATTTTGTAGAAAAAAATATTGATGAACCTTGAACTATATAAGTAGGTGATTTGCTTAATCAAGAAAATATACAATAAATAATATATAAGAACAAATGTACTTTAAACACAATCATAAAAAATAAAATAAAATTAATAATAAAATAAAAAATAATGAATAATTATGATACAAATTTAAACAGTTAAATCATTTGAAAAAGGCGTAGACAATTAGACTAGATATTACATTAAATATAAATTTTTACCACAGTCAATTTTTTTAAAGCGCCTTTGATGTTTCCTTACATTTTGCGGTAGCTTTTTCCAAAGCGTCGATAATTGTATACCTTAGGCCACCGTTTTCTAGAGCACAGAGACCGGCTGCCGTGGAACCTATAAGAATCATAATCGAATTATTTTAATAACATTTTTTGTAATATCGGTTTTAACATTTATATGATTAATAATAAATAATTTTATTTATTATCATAAAGATTTTATCATAATCCAAACAATTCAAAATAAAATAATTTAAAATCATAAATGAAACTTTAAACTAAAAATTGTATTATAATAATTTTAATTTTTTCTAGTATTGTAAATCATTAATATTATTTTAATATACTACTATTTTAAGACTTGTAAATCTATAATCTTTTTCTCCTCATTAAAAACACACAGCAAAAATTATTTATATTTTTAACCAAAATAAATGAATATAATTCATAACGAATAAACTTGAACTGTTGAAACACAATATGGAAAATATTATATATTTGCATAAAAAATAACGCGAGAAATATCAATACATCAATAGTAGGTCAACGAATTTTTATTTAATCACACATCAACAGTTTACAATTTATTGTTCATTTTAGCTTTAGACGGGAAAAATGCATGTGTAAATCCCCGCGACTGTTGTGTTTTTGAATTAAATTTAAAGCATAAAATTGAAACAACTGCATTAAAACGTTAATACATAAATCTAACGCAAAAATTAAATATGATCGATCATAAAATATTAGTCAAGACTCAATCTTATAGTTGTAATTAATCAGGCGTTTAAATGTACTTACAATAAATAAATTTCTTTTATTAAACTTTCAGAGCACTACATTTATTTTAAACCATATTCAGTAATTCCTATACTTTCTAAAATTGATGGTTAATCCGTGTCAAAACGGTACACTTATCGTGTGTCTGGAAATTATATAACTACAGACGTGAAATATTTGATGATATAATATGATTTTGTGGTATCATGCACCAACTGAATCATTCGTGCACATGACATACCTACTTGTAAAGGCATATTATTTTACACTGTCTGAATAATAAAATAATGTTATTTAATAATAATAATATAGATCACATAGTGATGAGCTTAATCCTCATACACAATTACCAACAAACTATTTTAATGTATTATGACATTCGTCTAGTTTCTACCTCCACGTGTTTAAACTTAAAAATAACATCAAAGAAAATTGACGTGATTATATTTAATAATTGTGCGTATTTCAAATTGTAGTACTCTCTATTGAAATAATAACGATTATTGGCTGTAAACAGAATCGAATTCCATGTGTAAAACCCAACTCACCCGCTGGTGAAGTAACGTCATCTTTGAGTTTTCCAGGATGTTCTTGGGTATCTCGAACCATTGTCCCCGCGCCCAGAACAGTCTGCGACGCCAATCTATAAGCCATGTCTCTAGGCACGCCCATGCGAACGGCACCATCGGCCAGCGCTTCGATAATAACGTATACCTGTAAGTATAGCAAGTACGTTGATATATAAATATAATATTAAATCACGCCATACGATGTTCGTCAAGGAAAAACCATTTGTTGAGTATAGGTATTCGATATCAGTATCGATATAGTGTTTAGAAAAATATTTTGCTTTCGATTTACGAAGTTAAAAAATATACATTAGGTACTTAATTACAAAATAAATACCTAAACCAAAACAATGTTATTTAATTTTAATAATTTTAAAAATTATTCAAAATAATTGTTTTCATGAAAAATAAGCATAATTTGTTAGAATTTAAAAAATCAGAAAATCGTCGGAGAAAATTATAGTTTGGTCAATTATATAATTAATTTATAAATTAATCACTCGGTATACATTATCTATGTATCATACAACCCATACGCATATGTTTATATTATATTGGTGTACACACATAATAAACCTGCATGTTATCATGTTACAGTCCTTGCGTAAGACTACAGATCATTTATTACCTACAATAATAAAAATCATATAATATGAATATAATGACAGCTATTGTGTTTTACATTCGTCAAAAATGATAATTGTACAGGAACCAGACACATGCTGAAATTTTTCGGTACTCTGTCGTAATAAAACATGTATAATTTTTTGATAACCGATTTTATAATCGCGTAACTGATAATATCTATACAGTATACTATCGACCTGCACTCGATGTTTTGGAGCATCGCCCGACAAGCAACAACGGCGGATTTGAACGTATCGTGTATTTATATTGTACCATCATAAATAATATGACCATCATTAAAACATAAATTTTCAGTATTTAGTTTAGTTAGAATATTAATAATTTTAAGTCGTTAAAAAACGTTATGCTATTACTTACATCGACATTACATGCGATTATGTCATTAGCATGGACACGATTTCACGTATGTCAAATACTCGTATAAATTAACGTGTCGTATACAATATAATGATCTTTGATCGAACAAAGTTACTCAAGTAGTATTGAAGCATTCATACTAATTTTGGCGTAAGAGTTCAATATCATACTGAGCATATTACAATCAACGATTTTTTTCCATTGATTTTCTCCCTACTTGTCTATATTGTAAAATTCAAATTCCACTGATATGTATTATGTAAACCCGTATGTCGCACGAGCATGAATATCAAAAGTTAGTTATACTTCTCAAATTCGTTATGATCTCAATAACTGTCAAGAAATATTAAAATTTAAAGTCAAATGATTTGGCAAGTCATAAGAATAACGACTGAAACGCTTTACAATAATATTATTATTGTATACTTCATACAGAATGCGCAAAATTATAAACGGTCAGAATATAGAATATTATCAAGTCGCGTTATAAAAGAGTATAAAATAAAGGATACTTACAACTTAACAAGATATTATAATATATAACATGCATAGCTCGCCACATATAATCTTTATGATGACCTACACGCAATTGTTTGTTTCATTTCGAAAAAATCGATATAATATATTAATTATTGTTGTATCAATACGTAATAAATAGTTTCACCTAATAATTTTCCAATACCGTTTCATGACAAAACATAATATTAAATAAGATTCCGACGAACCATTTACAAATTACTGTATAATATGAGTATAATATGTAACCGAAATATTTGACGGTTTGAATTACCCCGGAAACCGTTTTCATTGTGCTCTTCCTGGATATGCTTATATGGATTCACACGTTAGACTTACATATGCCGGACCGGAACCGCTGAGCGCAGTGATCGGATCCATCAAGTACTCTTGCACACGCTCCGCTGTGCCCACGGACGACAAAAGTTTTGCCGTCAGCTTCTCGTCTTCATCCGTCGCCCGATTACCTGGTACGTACACGGAAGCACCACACTGAACCAACGCAGGCGTGTTGGGCATTACTCGCATTACCCTCGAGTCGTCCGGTAAGAGCTGAAAAAAATCATAAAAAATGTATGATGTTGAAGTATAAGTAATCAAATTGCGTTAGCGCTAATATATTCTTAGATAAAACGAAAATCTGCTTAGTCAATAAGTGGTTAACGCGAGAATACCTATAATATGTCTAAAACATCGATACTCTTTATTTGACGAAAATTCGTTTTTTATTTTGTTTGACAGTACTATCATAAATTAAATAAACTAGTATATTAATTTAATCTATGGTATTATGTTTATGTACATCGATACAACTGGAATACCCGAGGAGACTATTGGTGGCTTGGCCATTGTCGGATTCCAAACGGCTCCCGTCTATTGTTTGCTTATTTCCAAGGCTGTATGTAAACTGTGACAAAATTACACCTTTTCTAAAAGTCTATATGTAAACTACGACAAAAAAAAAGATTAACATTACATAAACTGCAACAAAACAGATAAGATACATTATACAAACTGAGACAATTCATTTTATAAATATATATATGCATTGATACTATTTACATGCCGATACGATAACATATTTAAGTATACACATGCATGTTAAATAAATTAGAGTTAACAATTATTATAGTACCTATTATTAATTTATTATTTCAATTTTTAAATTTTTTGAATCTATTAAAAACAATATGTGTATGTTACAAGATATCAAACGATGTACAAACGTTATCGATCAGGAAGGTTAGTCACAGATCAAATGCGTACCTATAGGTAGGTACATAGCTATACCATAACTAAGGTATTAGTTCTTAATACTAAATATTAAGATATTAGATACACTATATTTAATTAAATAATTAATGTATATGTGTTATCGTATTGGCGTGTACATAGTATCTATATATATTATATATTATATATATATAATGAATTGTCGCAGTTTATACAATGTATATTTTATCGGTTGTTGCAGATTGTATAATGATAATTTTTTTTTTTTTTGTCGCAGTTTACAATCTCCTATTTCCAAACGGCTCTCGTCAAAAAAGGTTTTACGAACAGATAGATTTCCGAACGGCTCCCGTCGAAAAAAAATATACCAACAGGTATAATTGCATATACAATATTGTTAGTCATTTATAAATTATTATCACAGATAAAATCACTATATTATCATAATGTACATTTAATATGTCTAACAATAGTCTATAAAATCTCAACTCAATAGAATAGTTTTCTTTTCAAACTGTTATTGCATGCTGTATTGTCATTATAGGTATATAGTACCTATATACAGAAATAATTAAAAATAAATCGTTTCTTTAACACTCCACGTTCTCTCAAGCATTACAATTGGTGTATTTATGCGGTTAAATAGTACATATAATAAGTACTTAATAACACATAGATAATAATATGTACCAAATAAAATATTTTTAAGTAAAACCTATTAGAAATTAGTCGAATTATTTTTACGTACTAGATACCACAAAAGGAAGTGGTATAGGAATTAATTTAATTTAAACTTATTTGTATTTTTTTTCCATTGCCTACTAAAACAAATATTCATAAAACAAATAATTAATAATACTCAAAACAAAGCAAAATAAGTTTTGAATTTGAATACTCGAGTACATGATTAGGACTCATTATAATTAATACTTATAGTACTAATAACTATTAGATTATTAGATTAACAACCATATTATAAATAATAAGAAAATTACTAAGGTATATGGTTTCAATAAGCCTTGTATTAATAAATATTTATATGGAATTTAAAATATTTCAAAAATAGCAACTTACATCGTTTATAATCTAGGGTGTGAATTAAATGTATTCATATGAGATATTGTGTTCGTTACTATAAACATTAAACATATAAGATCAAATATGATAAAAATTTAATTTACATTACATTACTATATAGTGTAATGAAAGTATAAACCTATACCATATACCTAATAAAAATAGTAAATACAAACTTTAGTTCACATTTCTGTTTAATAACTGTTGTTTAATCACATGTTGTTTTTAATTTTAATAAATATTTTTTTTTTTAATAAATAAAAATTATTGTTATTGAAAACAGTGCTTATTGTCGGCAAATAAAAAACTGATAAAATATCACGTAATACACTTACATATTATACTAATAATTGATATCTTTAAACATAGAATAACTTTATAAATAATAAAATAGAAGAGATAGATATCGTAAAAAACAATAACCTTGACAAATTCATTATAATTTATTACTAACTAATATTATTCTATTTGAAAACAATTAATTTTGGATCTTAGGATCTAATTTTTAATACGTATAAATGTATGCAATATATTCAACAATTTATTAGTGCGTATAATTTACAGCCCTGTTTATAACTAATTAAATTTTATTGACAATACCTATTACCTACTAACTTGTGTAAACTTATCGAGGACCTACGTATTGTAAGAATTATTTTTTTAACGTGTACCACTTTTGTCTCGGTTCCGTAACCTAAACCTTTTAATTAACGCTATCGATTATACACTCAATCGACCATACCATTGACGTCAATCGACTTTGTTTACAAAATAATAGACTGTAAAAACAAATACATATAATAATAACTATGAGATTCGACACCAGAAATAGGGTTAAATGTTTTTTTTTTTAACTTAAATTCCTACAACATAAAATACACACTATGAAATTTAGTTTTTTTTTTTTAAATCTCAATGATATTAATGTCTATATTATAATTTTTTTTACTACTAGGAAACAATAATTTTCCGTCATGCCTGTCAACACTCTGGAGAGGACTTCGACTACAGGATAAAATATAATTATTTAGATAATTATCGGTTTAACTTATTTAATATTATGTCTCTATCGTTATAATAATTACCTACTGGTTACTGGTCGGTACATAAAGTTTTTCAGTTATCTACCGTGAGGAATATAAACTTTCGAGCGTCATAAACCAATTTTGGCCTATTTAACACGTCACGATTTTATCGAAAACATAACATTAATAATCAACAATGACAGACGCTAACTACCTCGCGCGTCATATTTTAATATACGTTTATCGTTCAATTAGTCACCCTTAGAGTTTTATTGAATTAAATTATCCTCGTGCACGTGCAAGCATAAGTAAAATAAACAATAATATTTTAATTGATATCATCGGGACGCTATATCCTATATGGTTTGGGCGCTCTCCCCTCCGCAACTTTCAAATCGACATCCGCAATATTGTTTTATTTCAGAAAACACTCATATAAAACGTATAACGCTTAATAGTAACATATGCATACGCGAGCATAACAGTCAAACGGCGAAATGATCATCGATCGTCTTACGTACCTATATAATTTACACGACCAATGCGACACCTGTGCGTTCGCGCGTCGGGTTCAGTTATAAACTTTTGCGCCACTTAAAAGAAATTTTGCTCGCAGAACGCGACCTCTTCAGTCCTATATAGAAATCTCTGTTACGGTGTCCGTTATAGTAAATCACTTGATTCAAGCGATAATATTGTGTAATGGCGATGACTAAAAGAAGGAAAAATGTATTGATAGTACGCACCTTTTCCAGCTGATCTACGGTGACACCCATGGCAACGGACAGCAGCAGGTGTCTGCTGGACGTGAAATTCGGACGGATCTGGTCCAGCACCGTCTTGACCACGGACGGTTTGACAGCCAACAGTAGGACGTCGGCGTTGTCGACCACCGACCGGTTGTCGAAAGTCACCTTCGATCCGAATTCCTATTATCGATCAATGTCGAATTCGACCGATACCGTGATTAGTATTAATATTCGACTTACGGGTACCTAGGTTACCAAATTCTCGGGTACGGCTCTCGCAACACTCACCTCGAAAGCTTTCACGCACTGCGTGTCTTGTGGAGCGCAGCTGGCTGTGATGTTTTCTCCTTTGACGAGACCTAAGTAGAAATAAATAATAATGCAATATATATATTTATATGTGTGTGTGTTTGTGTGTTTGTGTGTGTGAATAGCGATGAGTATGATACTAGAAATGAATATGACCGGACATCGAAAAATCGCCGGATTTACCGAAATAACTCACCGGCTGTCAAGAAGCCTTTGGCCAACGCCTGAGCCATTTTGCCGGCACCGAAAAATCCGATTTTCAACATATTCGCAGTAAATGTATAATTTTTTTTCCTTGTTACTCAATGTTGATTCAACGGCACTTGACTACTAAACGTGAACTACGGCCTGAACGCGTGACGATGAACGAAACACCGGTAGTGGCCTATGTGTGGTGTGTGTGTGTGTGTGTGTGTAAAAAAAAAAAAAAACATTATTATTATTTATTATAAGTTATAACCTTTGATTAGCGCAATCAGTATACCTTACCTTACCTTATTCAGATAGCCGTGCCGCCTGCCGTTTAAAATTTCTGTTGGTTTTCGATAAGCACGTTTGGATATATGACCGTACAATAATAAAATATATTATGCACGGACACGGATATAACAAACGTACGTTAAACATACAAGTAATCACCTAATTATATTCATAAGTAGATACGTAGGTACGTTTTTTACGATAACAAGTTGCGAACGAGTGTTTTTTTTTTTTTTTTGTTTTTCACTAATAGCATCAAATTTTGTGCGAGTGTGTTTGTGTGTATGTGTGTGCGCGCGCTCGCTTGTATATAATATAATAGGTATAGGTAGTATATAGTTTGACTGATTCTTTCGTAAAATACATAAGATTGAGATTACACCGCATCGAAAGCCTATATATTGTATATATATATATACATACCTTAAACGCGGACCATAAACACGCAAAAACATTTTACAATGTACGCGTACGTAAACCTACATTTAATTATTTCAAGTGTTTTGAATGTCGGAATATCGCGAATACGTTACGGTACGGGACACCTATATTGGTTGATTAGTATAATATTTTAACGAGTACCTACCTACCTTCTAAAATTTTTATTCGAATCGACCGCCGTTTAAACCGATAGATAAATTTATTTATCATTACAACATTCGCCACTGATTAAAATAATATAATATAAGCTTACACTTGTCATGTAACATATTATTATTGTACAATTACGTTGAGACTGTAATTTATATTGAGTATTTCCTGACTGCCGTTGTTCGTTACCTATTTAATAAATTGTTTCGACAATAAACTTATATTTTATGAATACTACCTACCTAGTATTATACTTTTATCGCAATATTGACTAGTACAGTAAAAAATACGTCACCGCGATCGGTATAATAGTGTACAATCCATTATACAGTTTAAATAATAATAGTCAGTATAATCTACGCTTATAGAATAGAATATTTGACACAACACCCATAATTCAACACTAAAGATAGGTATTTAATATTTCCTGTTGCACAAAAATACATTGATCATAACTTTATTTTTAAATATTGTGATTGAAAAAAAAAACTATCAACGCGGTTACTAAATGGTAACGTAATATATTAATCGTTGGTTGCTAGGGATAAGCTCACAAAAATTACGATTATTAAATAATTCTAATAATAGTAGTAGACATGGTCTAAATGTAACAAATTTGATAATTCCACGAAATCTGTGAGCAAAAATGTATTCATCCCAAACATGTATATATTATGTTATATCGCAAAAATTCAATCAAATCAATCAATGAATTTAAAATTTGTTCAATGATCAACCAAAAAATAATACTAAATTAACAATAATACTAATAATTATCAAAATATCATCCACAAACAAATCGATTTCAAAAATAAGTACAATTGTGGAAGACCGCATGAGGAATACCGGAAATGTACTTACGGAACAATGTGTGAAATCATATTGACCAAAACACAAGTAAATTATACTATATGCAAATTATTAATCTCGAGAATCACAAAGTATAAAGTAGTTGAATTAATGCATTATACAATATATTCAAAAAAAGGTACCTAACAATGATTAAGTGTTAATAATGTACAGAACCTTGTAACAGCGTATAGTTGAAAGTTCGTAAAATTGTAAAAAAAAAAATCAACCATTGTTGCTCAAGGACATAAAGACGAACAAATAAATACTACCTATGTGATAGCACATTTGAATATACCAACATGTTATATATCTAATGGTTAATATAATCTAAGAAAAATAATGAAAAACTAATAATTTTTTTTCTTAGTAGGTACCTACCTAGGAACTTCGAGGCCTAATTTTTAAACGTTTTTACAAAACTTCTCCATCTATTTCGGTCAATTGTATTAGCCATTAGATAGGTATCCATTTCCAGTAACTTGTTGATATCTAGGCCGTCCTTAATTCCTTACTCTATCCATTCACCACTGAAGAGGTCTTTTCCATTGTCGCTTTTAGGTTTCTGGTTAGGACATTTTGTATGAGAAAATAACTTTGTATTCAAACGTGTCTAGTTCAATCAAATCGTTTCGTTAATCGTTAATAGAAACTATTTAGTAGTAGATTCAACCTCTCATAAAGTGTTCTTTTATCTCCCATCATATTTCACAATTTGATTTTATACAGATCTGCAAATTATCCGTAAAGCTTTTCTTCGAAGAAAAGTTATCTCTCTTTGTACCTCTGTACAGTGAATTGTGTCTCAAATGTATACAATATTACTGCAGTCGCTGATAACCTGTACTTAAACGATTTTGCTTTCTTAAATTTGGACGGTAGGTATAACTTAGAACTAAGTATCTTATACATGGCAGAATAAAGTAGGTACTTAATCCTAACTGTATATTACATTATTTTCGATTATATATATTGGCTTCTAATTGCGTCCAATGTAAATACATTATTTTCCTTCCCATTCAATACAGACATAGGACTGTCAATAGCAACATTAAATAAATATTAAAAATGTTGTTTTCGTTAACAATTGTTAAACATAAAAATAAATAAATGGTAATAAATATAAGTTATGTGGATATATGTAATTATAATATTATTTAAGGTTAGGTAAAAATTTGAATGATATTGGTAGTTTTGACAAACTAAATGAAAACGGAATGGAAAGAAAATAATATATTTACATTGGATGCAATTAGTACTGTTGTTAAATACTCGTATTATAAGGACGCAATTCGTATGCAACGAATAGTTTAATTAATTCAAAGTCTTAAGTCTTATCCAATAATTGGTTATTAATGTATATATAAGTATTTTACAATATAATATATAATTATATTAGAAAATTCAAACAACGCTGCTAGTTACAACTGATGGTAACATCTACATGCAACGTATAGCAGGGTGTATTTATGTCATCCATATATTGTCTACGTCTAATTAGCCTGCCAAAAAATTGACAAACGCACCAACTGTAGATGCATAACATTTAAAACATATCATAAAAAATATAATGTGTAATATAATAATAAATTTATATTGTTGAAGATTGAAGACGTTGAAGTATAGGTTTACACATAACAATAGCTATTTCAAATTGCCGACTTTCCAATTTTTTTAATTAGGTACCTAATTAAAATATTAAATACAACCTCATACGTAGGTACATAAAATCATAAACACTACTACAATGATAAAAAAAAAAATTGACTGATTTAAATTTTGGAACCGCTATTAAAAACACTAATTATGCCATGATCTAAACAAAATAACTACTTATTTGTGTGGATTGTGGAAAAGGAGCTGGAAACTTCCAATTTCTAATAAATTGTATAACTGCATTAAGTAATAGATATATGTACTATGTACCAAACTAATAACTAGGTACCTATTATCCTAGTTGGAAATTCTGGTGTTAACTTTTAAGCGTTATGTAAGAATCACGTGTTTATTTATTTACATGGATTGGAGCATGTTATACCTAATATTATTATAGGTAATGCTCGTGCATACGCAATGTCAAAGTAACAACTAAGTAAATTAATAGCACTGACGGCCCACACATTCAATTTATTATTTATTTATTTGAGGTAATTAAAAGTAATATGTTATCTACGTTAGTTTTTATAAAATATTTGGGAAAATAAAACTCTATAAATAAATAATAACATACAATACAAATAAAATTATAATATTATGACAATAAAAAAACAAATATGGTATATGTATGTATTTTTTCTATGATGATAATATAATCACAAACCTTTCTTGATGTTGGTGTTCTTATACTAGGATATTCTTTAATAAAACAACACTCATCATTTGAAAAACATTGAGATAAATAATAGATTTTTAAGTAATGAGTGTAATTTAATGAAAAAAAATCAATCTGTATAGCCCGTTGGATTACAATTATAAGACAAATAGAGTAACTCCTACAAAGTAGAAAAAATGAAATTATGTAGGTATACTGTATAGATACTTTACTACAGTCTACTGAGTTTGACTTTTAATAAAAATTAAAAATTACCTGTATTAGTTATGACTTATGAGTAAGTACTAAGTGCATTATAGTTGGTGTGTACTTTAGAATCGTTATCTCAAAAAAGTATACTCATTTTGTTAATGTTAATATTTTTTGTAGTACCTATACCTAGGCATCATATTAAATATTAAAACCATAACAACATTTAAAATAAAATAAATTAAAAACATTTTGACAGTTGTTTACAAAATAATGTAAATATTAACCCTCCCTTATTTTTATTTTACACCAAATTAGTACCAGAATTTGAACAAAAAAAGTACTCAACAAAAATAATTTTAAAAAGTATTTATATTGAAAACATTAGTAAAACAATTTTATTTAAGTGTTTAACAATTACTGTGTATAAACACCAATTAATATTTTTAAATTTATAAAAATGAAATAGATTAAGTAGGTATGTATCGAATGTAACCAGGACACAATAGCTACTACACATAATAAATGTGTATTATATCATAATTAATAGTATAATTATTTATTATATTAATTATTGATAAAAATATTAAATTATTAGTATTTTATTTATTTAAATTAAATTACAGAATTTTCAATTTTGTATATTTTTCAAGTATATTAATTTATGATAATTATTTTATAAATTAGAAACAACCTATTTACCTAGTGTTATACATGTTAATATTGAGAGTACCTATAAATACTAACGCTATTCAATCTGCCATCTTTTTAAAAAGCGGCATCATAATCCAATGTGTGTAGATACTATGGTAAGAATTAAGAGGTAAAATACTAAAAACCTAACACTAATGGGACAATGGGCTATAATTATTGGAAAATATCAAACTGAAAAATTACCTATAATATGCTATTCATAAAAACTCAGGATTATAAAATAATCTACAAGAGTACTGATAAATCATGTAAATACAATTTGTACCTAGAGACTAGAGTTCAGATTAATTTAATTTAAAAAAATTATTACCATTGTTATATTTTTGTAGTGTTAAAGAAAATTCTAGTACTTTCAATAACAAAATCTACAGAAAAACTAAAATAATTATTCACCTCACATTTAGTAGTTTTTATAAAATTAATTAATTATTCAAAATAAAAACTAGGATTTTCAATTATTTTACATTTATTTTGAGACATAAGCTTATTTCAATAAACCCAAACGGTTTTAATATACACTCAACGACTAAACAAAACTTTCCCTACAGTTCATTCTTCATAGTAGCAATAAAAATTAAAATCTAACTGTAGTTAAAAATATTATGTTTAAATGATTAAAAAAATTATAAAATTT